GAGAGAGACGCTGGATTTTGCCTAGAATGTGGCTTTTTGAATTGAAGCAGAACACGATACTGGAATTGCTTCACCAAGATTTGATGCCAGAAGACTACATGCTCAGGATCACCCACACCAGTTGGCATGCAAAGTTCGCTCATCTCGATCCTCCCTAGCGAGGAGGTGCATATGAGACTTTGGTCAAAGGCTGGAGTTGACATGCAAAGTTACTGTACCCCTCGCTGACTCCCTTGCGAATGTGTTGTTCAATTGTCCAATCAAATAGTATATGCAACGCTCTCTCATGCAGTATCCGCCCTGCCCCGAGTCCACTTGAAGCATTGCATCGCTGCACCGAAACCTCACAGGCAGAAGCAGGCAAGCAGACGGCCCGTCGAGGTGCGTTTTGCATTGCCAGCGTGGCCCGTTATTGAGGCCAGCAGGATACCGAGCCCCAATGACGCCGAACTCTAGAACACTACAGGGTAGTCATAGCCCACTTGGCCGCAGTTATGGGAAGATGAGAATGAAGCCACTTTGCGTCATGGCGTTTGTCTGTCTTCCGTTTCGGATAACGGTGCGCTTGGGTTCAAGTTGGTTCTGTTCTCGACGGTCTCTTATGCAAGACCAGCATTTTAACGCACATGAATAAATTCAATGTCTGCATCCTTTATCTGAGCGCTTAATTTCGACTACAAGCTAACTAAAGTTGGTCCATGTTCTCGAATTTGTCGGCTGTAACAAACTCTTACTTTGTTTCATCACGCCTGAACATATCGTGCATTTGCATCGCAACAACAGGACAACGACTACCATCTGCAGGAAATAGTTTGCGAATAGGGGCTCAGGAGCATGTCAAAGTTAGCGAAGCTGCGCTGAATGTTGTAGACCGCTGCCGCCAGAGGCCACTTACACGGCCCTTATAATATGAACTGCATAGGGGTTCATTTCACAGAGCCGCAGACTTGTGCGGTGTGCTTCAACGGCGTGCTAGCTGCAGCGATGTCCCATAAAATATGCAACCAAGTCAGGCGGTCAACAAAGTTGGCACTGATATGTTGTGCACAGCCAGTTGCATCCCCTGTCTAGTGTAGAATATGCGAGCGCGGGGGATGCATGTGAGTGAATCGAGTTGAGCTGATCTGTACGGAGTAGGATGTGAACAATGAAGGACCTTTCATTATGTTAGTGCAAGTGACGATGATGCTCCGCGTAAGTCGATATGTGAGTTGATCTAAAACCTCCGATCAAGAAGCACGGAGTAGCAACGGTAGAGGCAATGCCGATTGATGGTCTTGATTGGCAGCTGATCAGATGGACGACATGCTAGGGGCTTCAAATCTCAAAAGTTCGATGCGTAGCTTTTCGATTTGATGCGCTTTGTGGTCCCTCTGGCCTAGGCCCCAGGCTTATGAGCAGGGCTTTTGTGCTTCTTCTCGTCCACACGCAGGCCCAACAACTAACGAGCGCACACAATTGAACTGTTAGCGCAGTGCCCTCTCGCATATAGCGGGGGCCACCCCGGACTCACTCATAAGAAGCGAGATGACATGGGCTGGTTGGCATAAAGAGCACAATTAAAGCTCAAATTACCACCGTCAGCTAGTGGGGGAGTGCACAAGAGGATAGGGGAAGCAAATCGTTTGTTTGTTTTGATCAGAACGGGAAGATTTCCTGCGCGTCATGAGAGGGGCCGGCCTATCGGGATGTAGGTCAGGACATGGTTGACACTGATGCTGATGTTAGCCTCGAGGAGCCTGTGCCCGATGCGACGAGCTGGCTTGTCCTGGTATGGCCATGTCATGACTGCTACTGATTCTGCTGGTGGAGGCAGAGAGGGCCTGAACCAGAGGGCCACTGAGCGGCTATAAGAAGGAGAGAAGACTCATCCATTGGAAGTGGCTGATACGAGAAACTCGCTGGGCAATGAAAACTAAGCTGTACTGTACCCATCGACTAGCCAGGGCTGACGTTGTCTCTGTTGTACAGCGTGTACAACACACCTCACTCACTTGTTCGAGGTAGCCCAGTCCTGTACGAGGCAAGTGATGGGACCCAGGATAAAGCATGCCCACCAGCAAGTGACGGCGACGATCATGACGCTGAATGGTCTGAAGGGGACGGGAGCCAGCGAACGGGTGGGCTCTAGACACGGCCCCCATCCCCCATCCCAATCGTATCTTGCTTTGGACTCGCTGCAACCTGCGAGTGCCAGTGCAAGTACCCGAGCTGCGACCTCCGATCTATCTTGGGGCAGTTACTCCAGCGTCTAAGTAGATGCTGTCCTACAACGACTGTGACCTCGAGACTGACCAGCAGAAGCGCTCATCTTTTTTTTGCTCCATGGAGATCAGACCTCATGCCATTCCACCAGAATTCCATGCCATGTTAGAGGCGATCTTCAGTCTAACGGGCGCCATCCCATGCCAACTGCCAGTGCCATGGGATCTCCCCTGGCTGGAAAGAACAGAGAAGTTCCTGGGCCTGAGGGGAGGTCTCAGGGGTGAGGTGGCTTGCGATGGCTTGAGAAGCGTCTGAAGGACGGGAATACCCCTGAGCACTGGCGCTGAGAGGCGCCCAGTGGGGTATCGACGAACCAGGGCTTTGGATGTCCGACTTACATGTCAGTCTCTTGAAAAAGATGTCCACATGAACTTTGGTGTTGATAGATGCCATTTCGACCTGGAAGATGTGAGCAAGAAAAAGTCAGAAACTCCTACAGGTGGGTAATTCTTAGGTACTGTATTTGTAATCCCTCTTTCTTTCTCTCGGACGGAGAAGAGGTGCTGGTCACTCTGAAGTTAGAGGTTGGCTTCAGGAACCACTCCAGACTCTCTACCCGTGGATATATCGTGGTCATCACTTACAAGAGTCCCAGCACAACAAGCATCGAGGCTCAACAAGTTCACAGAAACATTCAGTCACAGGCAAACGTAATTCCCTGAAGATCAACGATCGTCGCTATTCAACAAGTCGGTTGTCCTACCTACGGGTGACGAGGGGGAAGCATCAAGACATGGAGAGAGAATCTTCGGATATGACGAAGCCACGCAGCCACGAAGGAATGTGATTGTTCCGATGAACGTGCCATGATCGATGAGACAGAGAGATCAGTGCTACTCTACCTGTAGAGAGTCAGAATCGATAGCTAGCTCAGAGGCTTGAGATGGAACATGGACGGGCCATGAGCGGGTTGAGTTACGGGGACCAGCTCCCGGCGCCATCCTTGAAGGAAGCCACTCGCTAACAGGGCCAGCCTGGAGGGTGTGTTAGTGAGTTGATGTCTGCATGTTGTTGCACCCCTGGCTTTTGTTTGGAGAAACGCGTCTTTTCGTGTGACACTATCCCCCTTTAGGCAAACGTGTAAACAAATGCGTCACTTTGTCGCGCGCCTCTACCCCAGCTTGTTGTTGTCCAGCCTTTTTAATATGACGAAGAGATTTTTGTATGGTAGAAGACGAGGACGGGATACACAAAACTGAATTTGCCTCCCTGATGCAAAGTACGCGCGTTGTTTCCCTGTTATGATATTGACTGCTCTAGTGATTGTCCGTTCCTCATCAATTGATATATTGAATATTGGTTGAAGACGGGAGGCTTGTAGACAACTGAAAACCCCCCACTAACTCACCCTGAGCCTACCATTTTTACAGCACGGGGCGTGCACCAAATCGTTAGCCTACAGCGCCAACACGCGCCATCCCTGGGCTCCCACGCTCCCTATCCCCATCCGTCTATGGCGGGACCTCTCTTCCAACCACTTCCAGGCTGTCTTGTCCATCCTCTTTTTGCGCGCCATCCCTTCCACTCTCATCCCCTCCTGTCCTATCTCTCACTAGTATTTTGTCACACCCTCTGGGTCTTTTTTTACTTGAAAGCCAACTGTGGTCTGCACCAACTTTCCAACACAGACACCAAGAAAGCCCAGACGAGTGCATACCAGCCTGACTTACCACTACCAGTCGTTGTCCTTTCGACCTGATATTCTGAGTCACCAGACCCCAGTTGGAGTATCCACGTTCTGCCCTGAGGAAGGGTTCTTGGGTTTCAACGCAGCCACACGAGGGGTATTGTACACGACGGGGCAGGATAGTATTATTGCTCTGAACTCTACTGCTTGTGGATTCAAACAAACCACAATAACAAAGACTCGATGAGCAAGAGCAAAGTAAAAGAAGAGACAAGACCGGACGACAACTGCAGGGACAATTTGCTTTTCATTAGCCTCTTCTTTACACACAAACACAACTTGGTTAGTTTGTGTCAGGATCAGTAGCCCATGCCCGTTCACGAGCGCCATGGTCCAACTGCCACACCCAAACTAACTGCCTAGTTCACCTACCTACCCAACCAAACTCTCTTGTTTTCCCGTCTCTTCAACCCGCCCACCCCCAACTCCAACCTGGACGTCCATCTTGCTTGTACGAAACACGACACCACCACCTGCAGCACAACTACTCCTACAACTGCTTAGCAGTTTCAACTTCCCTCCTCTACTCAACCTCACTTTTTTTTCTTCTCTACGTGTCGACAATCACTCGTATTTACTCAATCAACGCGAACTCACGTCGACCCACTCTTATCTAAGGTATCTATCTGGCTGCCTTGTCGACGACATCACCTTTCGGGCACTTAAACGGAAGCCTATACTCAACGCTCTTCTGCCTTCTGCCTCCCTCACTTTAGCGTCTGATTTACTCTCAGTTGTCGAGTCATGATATGACCTTCGACATCCGAGTGAGACTGGCATAGCTTTTTGCGATTTGTTGGGTATCGCGTCGAGCTGCTTCTCACATCTTCGACTTGACCATTTCACGCAACACCATTAAAGGCTTGCACATTCGGCTCACCAACGTCCGCAACCTATACTTCACCTACTGCATTCTTCACCGGTCACTGTATCTCGCACTAGCAGCAAATATCGACAAGGCCTAGTTGTTCAACTGTTTATACCCATCAGCCTTACTGCGCCATCTGCTCGCGCATCACGGCAGCGCGCAGCACTTCGCAACCTCACAATGTCCTTCTCGAACAGCAGCGGTGGCACACTCGCCCTACCATCACCAACCCACGCACACCACATCGACGTCACATCGGCAGTTCGCACTCTCCGACGCTCTATTTCACGATCACCTTCCAAGTTCTTGACGCGTTCCAACTCCCAAAATTCGCTGAGCCCCGAAAGCCCCCACCAAACCTCACCTCAATCACCTTGTCGTCGATTTGGCGCAACACCGCAGAACCAACAACTTCTACCGTCCCACACCCGCTCAGCACCTCCTCATATCAACGGTGCCCCGCATTCAACCGCCTTTACACCTTTCCGCCCCAGCGTTAGGCTCTCGTTGCGTTCCGCCAAGGCCGGTAAGACATCGCCCTCACGACCGTTGACACGAGCACGCGCATCTCCCAAAAGCCCTCTCAAGAGGGCGCTCAACATGGCTCCCGATAGCGGCAACTCACTACCTGCGGTACCTTTGGCTTCAGTTATTGATGCATCAGGGCAAGAGAATAACGCCCTGGGAGCTACAAGCCCCATCTCTGTCAGTCCCGTCAAGCGACGCAGCCTCACTCTCGACGTCGCTGGATCTTCGCCGACCTCATTTCTCAAGTCTCTTGATTCCAACAATGATGGCCAGATGGTCCCAAACAACGGGTCATTAAAGCGCAGCGACGCAACCATGAATCTGGACCAACCGAGCCAGGGAAGCCCGGTGGCTAAGCGACGGAGCTTGCATGGAATATCGGGGCTGGGCCAGAACGAGGACCAAAATATCTTTGGTGCCAACACGACATCTTCACAGAGCTTCTACATACATGAAGACTCATCTACCGAGTATGAGATTGCGGGTACTAGCGGATCACCATTCCGCGATCCCGTCCCCTCACCAACACCTGCGACGACGAATGTTCCTAAGAGGTCATCGTCCCTACGTAAGTCAACTCTACAACAAAGATATGGGGAGCGAGGATCTTGGGGAAGACGATCTGGTGAACGACAGCTGGCTCAGATGAGCTCCGAATATTCTCCTGTCCGAAGTCGACCTCGCCTTTCTCTGGACCAATTCGTTCCTCCTCCTGTGCCTCAAGAGAGTCCCTTTGTTTCTACAACGCCGACCTCGAAACCACCACCCACTACTTTCTTTGGCGACAAGGCCCACCAACCACATCCTCTATCGAAGACACTGACGACGTCGTCTTCAGGAAACAGCTTAACCGAGGAAGCACCTATTTATGCTCCTGTGGCCCGGATGCCAGATCGACCCAGACCTCACCTTTTCTCACGATCCCTCCCTCTCAATGCGACACGACCCAATCGCCCAAATGACATGTCCAAGGCCATGGCGACACCCAGCAACTCCCAGCTGTGGGTGGGCGCTTTCAACTCTACTGGGCTTATTTCCAAGGTCAACCGAAATCCCGAAGAGGATGCCGACAAGAAGATGGCTCCTCCTGATACACCATGCAAGAAGCACTCTAACCCCTTCGCTACTTTCCCTCCACCGGCTGGGAGTGCCATGAAGAAGAGGGGTAACAACCGGAATTCTTTTGGCGGTCTCCCTTCCACCCCATTTGGTAACAGCACAGCCAGTTTTGGTAGGCCAGGAAAGGGCATGTCAATATTCCAACGTGGCAGTGCTTCTAGGAGTGCACGTCGCGGTAGTGTCCTTAGCCTGGATGGTGACGAACACAAGCTCTTTGGTGAAACGATTGACTTTTCGACACCCATGGAAGGCGATGCTCCCCCTACTCCAACCAAGAACAGTTTAACTCCCAGCCTTAGCAAGGTCAGCGAGTACTCATTCGAGAGTCCCCATGATAACCATAGCCCAACTGCCAACCGAACATTACACTCTACTACTCCGGTCCTCGGCACCTCTATCCCTCGAGAAGCAACTTGTAAGTCGGAAGTCCCAACAACGGACGGACCAGCCGGAACAGTCGATAATTCAAGTCGGCCTACCGATGCTGGACGTCTGTATTCCCCATCTTCGCATCTGCCTCTATCTTCGTTTGGCCGATCCAGGGCTCGACGAGGATTACACTCTCCTTCTCCACTAAGCACAGTTTCTTTGAGTCATACCCTCAGTTCTCCTCATGAGACATTTACTAAATCGAAACTCTGTGAATCAGCCAGCCCCCTTGATGGACGACGAACACCGCAAACGCCACGTGAGAGTTTGCTGCCTCTCGACACCAGCCGATTGTCTATTTCTCAGATTGGCGATGCCTTCTCAGATAGCATGCCACCTCCCGTTACCCCAACAGCAGGACGGGACTTGCGATCATCTACCAGCCTCCTTGTTACTCCCGTGAACGCCCGTACTAGTAACATTGACATTGACGCAAGCCTATCCTCCCGATTCGACAAAGTGGAGCAGATTGGAAAGGGTGAATTTTCTGTTGTCTATCGTGTCACTCAGGCGGACCATCAAATGACATTTGGCAACCTCAGTACAACCCCGACAACAAGCCCCACCAAGGGCAGAGTCTATGCTGTAAAGAAGAGCAAGCATGCGTTCCAGGGACCGAAGGATCGGGATACAAAGGTCCGAGAGGCCGAGATTTTGAGGACTCTCAGCTACTCTGAACATGTGGTCCAGTACTTCGATCATTGGGACTACAATAACCATCTCTATATTCAAACAGAGTACTGCGAAGAGGGTACCCTCGACAAGTTCCTGGGTACTGTTGGACGAGGTGGACGACTAGACGACTTTCGCATCTTCAAGATCCTCCAGGACCTGTGCTTGGTAAGTTGTAAACCACTGTGCTCCTCTATACGTACTCACATTTTCTATAGGGCCTGAAGGATATCCATGACTCAGGTTTCATGCATCTGGATCTCAAGCCGGCCAATATCCTTGTTACGTTCGAAGGTGTTCTCAAGATTGGTGATTTCGGTCTAGCCCAATCCTGTTCGTCTGCCGAAGGCGTGGACGTCGAGGGCGATCGTGAGTACATGGCCCCGGAGATGCTCAAGGGTAAATCCTGCCAGTCCGCCGACGTCTTCTCTCTGGGCCTCATTATCCTTGAGACAGCCGCCAACGTTGTCCTGCCTGACAATGGACCTACGTGGATCGCCCTCCGCTCTGGAGATCTTTCTGAAGTGCCAAGTCTTACCTGGAATCCCTCTATTGAGGTCCAGCGAGATGCCACTGGTAACCCTACCGAGATAATGCATAGCGATGATTTCACAAGTGGCAAGACGCACGACCCAAGCAACTTGTTTGGCCCATCCAAGCGATCGGAACTACTGCAGCCTCCCGAGTTTATGGTTAATGCCACCCACAACAGTTCTCTCGATTTGATTGTACGATGGATGACAGCTCAAGAGCCCAGTGAGCGACCAACGGTACATCAGGTTTTGGAACTTGAGGGCCTGCAGTGGGTTGGCCATCACCGCGCCGCACCGGCAACTGTTTATGAAGGAAACTGGGGACCCGACGAGGAGTTGATCCCTATTTCCATCGCAGAGGGCGGTGACAGTGACACAGAGATGACTGACGTCTAGAGGGAATTACCGGGTTGCATTTCACTCTGGATAGCACTGGAGGTCTACTGAGAAGGAGCTTTTTGCGATTTTTTATGGGGAGAAACACGCTGAACTGATGTTGGAGACCCTGGCTCGAACTAGGAACATAGCACTCACGACCAGGAGGAATTATGTGCTCTGACGATATCTACATTATTTGCTACTACGACACGATACGAATACCACGAGGAATGGAAGCCATTAACGGGAACTTTATTCCCATGGCGTTTTGTTGAGTTCTTTATTCAACCTTCGATTCGGAGGCTGTCGCTACTAGGCATGCCACGACTGTTCCCCGGACCGACCTTTATTTCCTTTGTCAACTTTTCTTTGTACGCCACAGGGAGCGAGAGCACGGTTTGAAGAATGTGCCCCTCTCAGGAAGATGGCTTGAATATTTTGCGTCTCAACAGCGAGACTGCGTGTACCAAATACCCCGGAAAGCATTAGACATGCTGTGGTTACAGCGCATATTGGGTGGGAGTAATAATCAAAAGTTCCGGCAAACCTCTGCGGGATTCAGCAGAGAGGGGCAACAGCACAGGACACAGCATATGGAGGAGCCAAAAAGAGACGGTTGTCTTTGAGAAATGATTGTATCGAGTCATTGGAAGTGCAGGATTTGCTACATGAGACGCTGGAATATTGTAAATTATAGTAATGGCTCTTTGAGCAAGCATACAAGCAAGCATGGTGGAAGGATACTTTAGAGGCCCACTGCCAAAGCAGGGCAGAATAGGATGGATTGAAAGGTCACTGGATGGGGAGCTTGATCTGATAGCTGCTGATGATTCTGACGACGAAATGGCATGAACATGATACGATCAATTCATAATCAACACTTCGCTTTGGCTGTGTATGCGTGATATCAGGAAGCCTATGATACTGCAGGCCTTTATCATATCGGTCTATCTATAGCTCCTATGCACGACGTAATACATCTAATGTTATGCCAATGCCCTCCGATAACTGCCGTTCAAGGCGGGGGTTTACTAAGACGGATTCAAATTCGATACATAACCCACCAGACTTTGAACTTACATCTCCGCAACTTACCTCAAACTTATACCTGGTCTCACATCAGCACCCACGTATACACTAAAAAACACTTCAGCTAAACAATGACAATCCCCACGCTACTACCAGGACAGGCTGAATTGCCTAGCACTGAGAGCACAAAATCGTACTGGCATCACAAACCCTCTGAGAGGCTCCTCGGGCATCGCACCACAGCTGAGCTCCCTTCCACAGCCGATGTTGTGGTCGTAGGCAGTGGTATCACGGGGGCATTTGCCGCGAGAGAGCTTGTCAAGGGGGGCTGTAAGAATGTGGTGCTTCTCGAGGCAAGAGAGGCGTGTTGGGGGGCTACAGGAAGAGTGAGTCAAGTCTACTGAAATTCTTTTGTACGGGCTTTCTGATTGTCATTAGAATGGTGGTCATTGCCAGCCCCTTATTTACGCCTCCAAAGCTCCAGTTGCTCAATTTGAACTTGATACTTTTAATTTCCTAAAGGACCTTGTATCGGAGCACAGTATCCCTTGTGACTGGGAGACAGTCGGAGGTGTGCACCGTGTTCCTTCACAAGAAATCCTCGACATTGTGACCCGGCATCTAGACCGTCTTAAGAAAACCAACCCTGAGCTTGCGGACGACATCAAGGTCATAACCGATCAGGAGCAACTGAAGAAGCTGCGAGTTTCAGGGGCATCTGCTGCCATATACCAGCCCAACGCTGCTAAGCTATGGCCGTACAAGCTTGTTAGCTGGGTTCTCGAGAGTCTCCTTGAAGCGAACGACTCAAGCGTCTTCAATCTCCAAACAAAGACGCCCGTGGAGCACATTCAGCGGATTGGGGGCTCGTGGGTTCTCCACACTCCTCGTGGCCAGATAGCAGCCAGGAAAGTCATCCTAGCAACAAACGCTTATACCTCACACCTTATTCCAAAGCTATCTGGGTACATAGTTCCCGTGCGTGGTCAAGTTGCTGCTCTCACCCCTTCAGAAGGCAGCTCACCACTGGAGCATAGCCACGTGTGGTGGACACCAGATGGAGGAGACGACTATCTCGTCCAGAGACCTTCGGGTGAACTTATCACTGGCGGTGAGAGACTAGGCTCATCCGATGGCCAAGTTGGACTATCGCGGGACGATTCGATCGACCCAATTATAGCTCAGCGATTGCGTGCCTCACTTCATGAGGCCGTCAGGCTAAGGGCACCAGAAGAATCTGAGGGCACTTCTCTTCAAGCTACTTATGAGTGGACTGGCATCATGGGCTATTCGAAAGACGGCTATCCGTGGGTTGGTCAACTACCCGCTTCTCTGGGCGGTGGAGATGGTGGCCTCTGGCTTAGTGTTGCTTATACGGGGCATGGTATGCCAGTGGCAGCGAGATGTGGAATAGCGGTTGCCCAGGAGATATTGGGGATCGCCGATGGCGTGAAGCTGCCAGCCCAATATCGAATTGATGGAGGGCGAGTTGATAGGGCTCGAGATATGAAGCTACCCTCGACACTCTTGGACGAAGTCATGATGATGATTGGCGATGGAAACTGAAATATGTCTCATGGCAAGGGCCACGATGAGGCCTGTGTGTAACAATCAATGGAAAATACAGTTATGCTTTTGAAAAGCCATGAGAGAGGCTACTGTTGCTTGTTGGGACAGCCTCCCTTACACTAAGAATTTTATGCAAACGTATTGATACAAGTAAACTCTGCCCAGTCTGGTCCTAGCAAGAAGAATTCTTTTTCTCACCAACGTGATATACCTTCTTTATCGACTTGACCGTACTTCACAGACCATGTCGTACGCAAAGAAGTCTATGATTTGCGAAGTGATGCAATATATTGATTAGCTTGCGCGCCCGTCGCCGCCACTGACCTACAGCTTGGCGCGCACCTCAAGGCCGTTGCTAACTTCGCGTTTTGCTCGCTCACGAAGAGCCTTGCGCAAGATCTTGCCCGACTTGGAGTGACAATATGTAAGCCTCGAACTTGCAGCGCCTCTTACTGAGAAGGATGATAGACTTACAGGAACTTTGGGGATAGTGTCGACGAAGACCACTCCCCCCTTAAGTTGTTTGTATTTGACAACACGACTAGCCAGCCAATCCGCGATGTCTTGTTCAGATGTGTCTTTTGCGTTTGTTGATTTGACGACATAGGCTCGTGGGAGCTCTTCACCGTTGACCGTGACCCCAATAACTGCAGCGTCTGCAACATCTTCTCGTTCAAGTAGGAGAGACTCGAGTTCAGCTGGAGCAACTTGCATGCCTTTAACCTTGATCAACTCCTTGACACGATCCACGATATGAAAGAGAGACCCCTTTTCGTATTCCTCCACATATGCAACGTCCCCGGTACGGAGCCACCGAGTGCCCTCAGCGTCAGTAACAAATGCGCCTTGGGTTGCACTTGGGTTTCTCCAGTAGCCACGCATCACCGTAGGACCCGTGATCCAGAGTTCTCCTGGGGTATTTGCAGTCGTAATTTCCTCTCCAGTTTCGATATGGATCAACCTGGCCTTGGAATCTGGGGTCAGCTCACCAGCCGCAGAGCTGGGAGCTTTGTTAGGGTCCCACGACAACGCGGTGCAGGTTGCTTCAGTCATCCCCCAACCTTGTCGTACTACTGACTCGCCCCCAGGTATCATCCCGGCTATCTCGCGTTGTGTATCCTTCGCTAATGGGGCAGCACCGGATGCAATCATGTCGATGCTACTCAGGTCGGCACGGCGTGCAAGTGGGTGTTTCGACATAAGGACAAGAATAGGGGGAACGGCCAGAAGCTTCGTGATGCGGAAATTCTGAATATGTGCGAGCATCTTAGGAAAATCAAAAGAAGGCATGATATATACGGGAACGCGCTCGCAAGGGAAGCTGGTGATGAAGTAGCCTTGACTAAAGGCGTGATACATGGGGAGGAAACACAAGGCAGCAGCACGTTGACGGCGAGCTTCGTAGTCGGGATGGAGTTTATGGAAAAGAGTCACACCGCAGCTATTCGCAACATGATTGTAATGTGAGATCTCGACACCTTTCGGTATTCCAGTCTAATGTTATTAGCTTCGCGGCAGTTGGCTAGGGTCAAGAAAAAGTTGAAAGAATGACTTACAGTGCCTGAGCTGTAGTTGAGAGAGCAGACAGAGTCATTAGAATCATTTGGCTCAGTCCACTCGAATCTCTCGCCCTCTGGCCTGGATGCAATGAGTTCTGTCCAGTGTCGACTGCCTTCTCCAGGTTGTGTCTCAACAGGTGAGTCTGGCCATGTCGAATCCAACAAAAAGACTTGCGAAGCTTTCATACCAACCTGTGAGGCAGCAGCTAATGCCACTTCCATACCACTCTCCGCGGCAACGACGAAGGACGCCTCGCTATCTTGAAGTTGATGGGCCAACTCTCGAGTGACATATCCAGGGTTAGCTCCTGTAAATATGCCCCCAGCCATCCAAATGCCCATCACAATAGTCGGGAAGAATAAGCTGTTACTGGCGAAGAGGAGAACACGATCGCCCGGCTTAAGACCATGGTTGATAAGACCGACGGCGATACGCTTCGCAAACAATCGAGCTTGGTTGTAGGTGAAATAACGTTGCTCAGGGTTATCGGCATCGATGAAAGCCTTCTGATCCGGTAATGGCCCCGAAGGCGAGCCAAATATCCATTGTTGAATCGAGCAATTAGGAACCGACACCGAAAATCGCGATTCGATTGGCATGGTGCGATGTTGTCGACAAGTCGAGATATCAATGTTTTAAGAGGATGGAGTTCAGTATAAGGTAGGTATGTAACAATTCAGATGGAGTTTGAGGTTCTCTTTGTGTGTAAGATGGAAAGAGGTCCAGCTCAGAAGAGTAACTAGGTAGCAGTTGCCTACCAAAGACTAGAAGCATCAAGCCAAGCCAAGCTGAACACCTCAGGAAGGAGGTGCGCCATCTACCTACCTCCTTCTGTAGTTCATTTAAGATCTGGCGCTTCC